TTATTGCAACATCAGCAAGTGCTGTTTACTCCTTGTTAACGTTATTGTAAGCAGTGCAATATTGTCAATTGTTACTTATTTTTACTCATTAAAATGCTGGATTTATAAATTGCTGTATGAATGCCATAGATTAGAATCTCTCTCTAGCATAAATTCCCCAACATTTTCAGAGTAAAAAAATCCAGTCCACAGCTTTTAACCTCTCAGACATCAGTATAGACCAGGGGTAGGCAATCTTGGCACTTTTATGACTTGTGGACTTCAACTCCCAGATTTCCTGAGCCAGCCATGCTGAGGGGAAAGGGAGAATTTCCAAGCTGAGCCATGCTGGCGCAGGAATTCTGGGAGTTGAAGACCACGAGTCATAAAAGAGCCAAGGTTGCCTACCCCTGGTATAGATGGTATTTGACTTGTTATGATCAGTTGCTTAGTGATGACGTTCCAACAGACCCAAAAGAGCTATTCACATTTGAAGTTCTGACAGTCATGTGATTGCATTTTGGGTGATTAGCAACCGGCCCGCATTTATGGCTGTTTGCAGGGTCCCGTGGTCACATGACTACAATTTATGGCATTTAACTTCTAGTTTTTAGCAAAAAAATGCTGGTTTGTTTAATAACTGCAGGTTTGTTTAACAACTGCGGCAAAAATTTTTTATAAAATCAGGTTGGTCATGTGATGACCCCCCATTAATGACTGGTATGACTTACAACCAGAATTCCAATTACGATAATAAGTCAAGAACATGGTTTATGTCACCTGAATTTCAAAATGGCAATTACAGAAGGAGAAGACTCATGTTACCAATGAGGAAAACAAGCATACTGGTGAGATATCTCAGAGAAATTCTGTTGACAAAGATTTTTCCCAATTAAAATAAAATTTTCTGACTTATTATTGCTATTTTCAAATGGCAATGGCAAAATGCTAATCCTGCAAAGAACAGTCTCTCCTCCTTTCACTTGAGACTGAATTTTATGCCAAAAGTTCCAATTAAAGTGAAAAGTTGCAAATTCTTTTTCTCTGGCCTTCATTAATCTACAGGACCTGGACAATGGCTTTCTCCACAAAACAGAACTGGAAACGAAACTAAGTGGACTTCATTCTTGGGTGGAATTAATGAGTATTGTCCATGAGCAGGTAAGAAAGAAAGAGAGGGAAAGAGGGAAAGAGATATGTTTGCATACTGATGCTGCTTGTATTACTAGATGCAAGCAACATTAGCCTTAAAAATAGGTGGAACTGACCTACATTGGGAAATTAAACAGCAGATGTACTTTTTTTTCTGATTTTATCCCCTCCCTTTCTTATACTGCCACAAGCACCTTACAATAAATATTTGAACCAAATCTGAAGCTTGGAAAGTTTGCTGAAATAAGAGGAAAACAAAGTATATAATGGCAATTATACAGATATTCAGCGATGGATTTGAAAACTTGCATACCTGCATACCTGCTTCGTGCCTTGGAGCATGTGCAAAGTGAATCAATTCCCACTCTTTTATTATTTTTGCACTGGATTGCTGTCCTCCTTTCTGCTAATCATGAGCTTCATCACATGCCAGATCAATTGTAACCTGCAATATCTTGTACACACATCTTAACTTAATTCTAACCTACATGGAGTAGTTATGGTGGCACCTAAGAAGCAAAAACCAGTAATCTGTGTCAATCACAGGCATTCCTGAGTACAACTAGTGTGCAATTACATCTGTTACACCTCCTTGGTGTTTGAGACCTAATTATTTCCACCTGGTTCAGTAAGGAACCCCCCTGGTACTCACTCAGCCTCTCTCACCTTCACTGTTCTAGATATATATACATAATCAGACTGGAATTCTTCTTTCTCATAGCCTTGAGCAGGGGTGTCAAACTGCCGGCCCACGGGCCGGATGCATCATCCGGAAGCTGTGCCCACCCCATTGCTGGCAATGGCAAAACCGTCCCGATACGTTGCACAACGTCACGTGACTTCGCGAGTTTGACATGTCTGGCCTTGAGGATCCGTTTCTTAAAACAAGCCATTATGAAATCCCCCATCTTTACAGCCTTCTTATCTCTGTTAAGAATGGTTCACCTACTCTGCTTTGGCCTCTGAGCTCATTTCCAATAACTTAAGCTTTATTGTATTAAATCCAATAAAGGGGAAAAGTTGCAGGTGGGCTGGTTGATTGCTTGTCTAAGAAGTACACATGGGCTGCCTTCTATGCTAGCTTCTAACCCTTCTTTTTTTTCCATTTTATGTTGCATTAAAGGGTTTCATTATTCTTACCCAATTCAGTTGCTAGAATTAAAAGCACTACTGGCAGAGGTAGTTTGCTCTCCTTTCTTGTTGTAACCAGTTCTTTGTTTGTATATGATACTTACACCAGAGTATCATAAGGACTTCAAAGGGATCTTGATATTCCCATGGTGCTGATTTTTTTTCCCCCATTTAGGCCACTTTCCAATTCAGTGAGGTTAGCAATTATTGTTTTGTCTCTAGTTGTAGCAAAAACCAATGTTTGGGGGGGGGGAATAAATACCATCAGTCAGAAAGAAAAAATAATCTCTCTGCCATCCTAACCCATATATACCTATCTTTGGTCAGTTTGTATCTTCCTTAATTACATCACATAGATCTCAGCATCCTGAGATTCTTTGCTCTTTATAACAAAGTCTAACTTTTTGGACTTTTATTGATAAAATCTGTTTTCAATATCAGAGGACATGTTCAAAAGGCAGCACAGCTGGGTAAACAAGAGTCCCAGATTTTCAAGGCATGTTAATTGGATTCTCAGTGACCCTCAAGGAACAGGTGATAATTTTGGCCAGGAAAGCTATTACCTGTTGCACTTGTTCCTGGGACAGGAGACCCCTCAGGTAGTAACCCACTCCTTGGTCATCACATATTTATACTATTGCAATGGGCGCTACATTGGGCTACGTTTTGAAAACTATTTAGAAACTGCAGCTGATTAGAATGGGGTGGCATGGGAAGTTGCAGACATGCCATTACTCATGGAACATCTTTGCTTTGTGAGCTGTATTGATTATCAGGTGGTTTCTAGGTGCAATTCAAGGTGATGATTGTCATCTGTAAAGACCTTCATCTTATAGAACCTAGCTATCTAAGGAACTATCTCCTATAGTTTCTATTCATCTTGTTCAATGCTTCAGGTCCTATCAGTTACGGTAAATAGTGTCATCTAATGGTGGTCCAGGAAGCAGACCTCCTGTACATTGCCTGCCCTATGGAACAGGGATTTGTTTAACAGTTAATTAGGTTTGAGCTCATTTAAATGGGTCAAGAAAATGTGGCTTTTTCTCCAAGCCTTGTTTTAGAGTATGTGGTGAAAATGTTTTGAACTCAGCTTTCCATTACACAATCAAATTAAACATTAAGATGTACAGTTCTGTTCTCTTCATACAGAGAATTCTACCTGCATGTTCTCCAATCAACTTCCACTGCTTTTTTATGTAACTGATATTGAAAATCTTAACAGCAATAATCAGACTACAAATTAAACTAGAACAGAGAAAACAAAAAAAGGATAAATAACGGAAAGAGCTAAAACTGCAATATGAAAAAAGTGGTAGAAAAAATAGAAAGACATTAAAAAAGATTATAAAGGTACAAAGAAATGTCCTCTGATCTTCATCACAGCAGTTAAAAGTACAATTATATTTTAATCTTTCTCTATAACATTACATAATGACTCCCTTCTGTCTATAATCTATCCTGTCTAAGCCTTGCCTCAAAAACATTATTATTATTATTATTATTATTATTATTATTATTATTATTATTATTATTATTATTATTATTATTATTATTATTATTATTATTATTTATTGAATTTATATACCGCCCTATCTCCCTTACGGGACTCAGGGCGGTGAACAGGCGATAATAAAAACCATGATAAATATACGCAAGTTTCTGTTCTAAAATCAAATTAAATAACAGGCCTGTTCTAAAAATACCCCATACAAAACCCCCACTAAAACATAATCAAACTACGCCAGGCCGGCCGCACGGAATAGATGGGCTTTCAGGGCTCGGTGAAAAAGGCGCAGCTTCGCAACTGTACGTAGGTTGGGGGGTAGGTCATTCCAGAGGGCAGGAGCTGCCACAGAGAAGGCTCTCCCCCTGGGGGTCGCCAGCCGGCATTATCTGGCCGTCGGCACCCTAAGGAGGCCCTCTCTGTGGGAGCGGACTGGTCGAAGGGAGGTGTTTGGTAGGAGGCGGTCTTGCAAAAACATAAGTCATAACTTCATTTTTATGCAGAAATAAGGGGTTCCCAATCACCAATAAACATAGATATTGTCCTTTCTGTAAACCTAATGTATGATTTACATATTAATCTCAGCCCACGTCCTTTTGATTCTAGGAGCTTGACGAAGTGATGTCCCAGGTTAAAGATATTTCAGTTGTCCTGGGGATTGACAACAACAGATACATTCCTGACCCCCACCAGATTGTGGAGGATGTGAGAGCTCAGTATGAAGATTTGGCTATGAAAAGCTGGGAAGAGTTGGAGGCACTCACCCGATCCAAGGTATACATTCATGTATCATTAAAAAATTCCCAAAGTGCTTCTTGGGAACCTCAGTTGTAATGAAAGGAAAATAATGAACAGACATTTGGTTTTGCCACAGACCTCCATGCCTAACTGAACCTAAAAGCATGGCACGAAGAAATAGAAAATGGAGGCTGACAGAAAATATGGCAATGAGATTCAGCAAGGTCAAGAAAGAAATAAAATCTGGTATAAAAAAAATCTCTGGATCCAACACAGTAATGAGGCAAAGAACGAGGACGGAGAAGAAAATAAGAGAATTCATAATGAATGCTGATGAGAAAGCAGAAATAAATTAATATTCAGATATAAAGCATTTTATTATACTCTTTTAGTCACAAATCTAATGTTACTGTATATGATCTGGGCATGTTGAGTCTAAAGCTCCAGATGTTTGAGGCAGAGAGATTTGCTTTAGTGAATATGGTCCTTGTAGATCACAAAATAATGGTTTGGGGTGGTGGTGGCGGCTTTATATTCCATACTGTGGATGTTGCGAGAGGAAGGGGGGAAGAAAGCATTACAGTGTGTAATATTCTTTTAATTCTCGCCTCCAGCTGAATGAAAGAGAAGTGTTATGTGCTAAGTATGGGGACCATCTCCTTAACGACCGGAGAATGATTGCTGAGTTAAATATACAGATCCAAAAATTGAGGTCTTGCATTACCTGTCTGAAAAGCCAGGTAAGAATATGACTGGTAGAAGATTGCAAAAACACAATCCTCCCCATAGGAATATGCAAATGAAACCTATGCTCTTGGCAATAGGATAGATATAAAAAAAACTCCTAAAAATAAAATAAATATGACTAAATTCCCATCATGTTATACATTATATGAGGTTCTGGTTATTTCATCTCATTTTGAAAGTCTTCATGCAAGAACATGAAAGTGTAATCACATGAGAATATATTTATTTGGGGTTTTTTTTTATTTCCTTCTAGTCAGTGTTGATTCCCGGCAACTGCCTGACTTAGTCCCTGTAATTTTCTGGCCAAGATCTTGGAAGTGACTTACTCTTGCCTTCTTCCTAGGGCTGAGAGTGAGTGGCTGGCCCAAGATCATCTAGCTGGCTTTGTGCCTAAGGCGGGACTGGAAATAAGAGTCTCCTGGCCTCTAGTCTGATGCCTTAACCACTAGACCAGGGGTAGACAACCTTGGCTCTTTTATGACTCATGGACTTCAATTCCCAGAATTCCTGAGCCAGCATGGCTCAGCTTGGCAACCTCTCCCTTTCCTCTCAGCATGGCTGGCTCAGGAATTCTGGGAGTTGAAGTCCAGGAGTCATAAAAGAGCCAAGGTTGCCTACCCTGGCACTAGACCAAACTGGCTCTCATAAGAGTATGTATGTGTACACACATATGTGTATAAGTATAACTATATCTGAAGGAGATGGATGGTTAAGAAATACGTATAAATAAATAGGTATAGGAATAGGTATAAATAGGTATAGGTATGTTTAATTTGGGTTTGTATGGATCTCATTATGCATATTGAGGTGCCATGATACAGTAAGTACCATGTTGTTGCCTTAGTAAATTTACTTCTCAGTCTGGGAGCCACCACATGTGATTAACTATGAGTTTCCATCATCCCCAGCCAGATGTGCTAGAGCTGAAGAGAAATGTGGCCCAGCACATCTGGCAGATACCAAGCTGGGAGAGATGGTCTACAGCAGGGGTAGGCAGCCTTGGCTCTTTTATTACTCATGGACTTCAACTCCCAGAATTCCTGGCTGGCTCAGGAATTCTGGAAGTTGAAGTCCACTAGTCATAAAAGAGCCAAGGTTGCCTACCCCTAGTCTACAGGAATGTCAGCATTTAGGACAGAAATTTTGAAAACTTATATTTTAAAGAGCAAAGGAATAAAAAACTACAATTGGAGAATTTAAGTCCAGGAAGGTCATCTGGCCATATTTGCCCACTCAGCTGTATTAATTTACTTGGTGTGGTTGATGTAGTATCTGATTAAGAAATATAATTATGTATGCTTTTCCTTTTCCTGTATGGTTTAGAAGTATTCACATTTGATGGTTATCCAAGCTAATAGCAACAACCAAACTATCCCTGTACATTAAAGTTTATGGGGTAATAAAGGAAAATTACAAGTGATGGCAATGAGCTGGTGAAGATACACGAGCAGGCATATCTCTATGTTTGCCTGTGTGCTTGGAGACATGCCACAATTTATATCTGCTATTGAAAAGTACTGACATGCAGGAGTAAAGACATTTTTGTGTCCTTCCCAGTTTATTTATTTCAAAAGGGAAGGAAGAAGGGAAATAGGGGGCTTGAGAGATCACCAAGCTTCTTTCCCTTACTTGTGATCTTCTGTGTACTCAGTGTCTACATTTAGAGGATAACATCAAAGATGTTGGTCTACAAGGAGAAGCATCCCTAAAGGATGCCAAAGCAAAACTGGCAAAATTGGAAGATGCCCTGTATAATGCCAGGCAAGACTTGGCTCAGCTGGTTAAGGAGTATCAAGAGCTGATGAATACCAAGCTGGCTTTGGACATTGAGATTCTCACTTACAGGAAACTAGTAGAAGGAGAAGAAATCAGGTAAGATTGTTTATTTGAAGCTTCTGAGTATATATAGACTGAAAGGAAAGTAGAGTTTAGATTAACTTGCCTCCAATATATTGTATCTGTTCAAAATTCTCCTGGGAGATTGAATTTCTTTCAGAAATTATTGCAGGATTCAAGCATCCGATGCCTACGGCATGTCATATCAGAAAGTTCTTTTCAACATCAAAATAAAAGAAACCAGGAAATACCAACCGTTTTATGGTGCTTGAATGTCAAAATCTAAAGAAAAAATATTCAGAATGCAACTTTGCATTTAAAAACATCAGATTCAGATTTTGAGTAGGAAAACTGAAACATTCAGCAGGTTTGTAATACTTTCTGTTCTGAGAAAGCTATACAGTTTCTTTGATACAGACACTACAATGTAGAATTAGCCACATCTGCCTGAAGAATTAACATGCTAGCTCCAGCATGTTCTAGCATTAGATACTGACACTGTATGCAGTTAATGTTCTGAATCCTAAAATCCTTGATCACTACATCAGAAGTCTGGTAGCACTTTTTCCAAATAACATTTTTTATTAAAAATCTTAAGTTCTACAGCTGTAGCTCAAATGATAAAATTTAATAAAATTTGTTAGTCAAAAAAGCTGTGACCATACTCTTTTTGATATATATATATATATATATATATATATATATATATATATATATATATATATATATATATATATATATATATATATATATATATATATATATATATATATATATATATATATATATATATATATATATATATATATATATATATATATATATATATATATATATATATATGTTTTCATAGATTTTCACGGGTACAGGTATGCAGGTCTTGGCATATTTGGGTCTTTTCCCGTGTAAGATTGAGAGTATCTTGGTGACGTTTCGACGAGGTCCCACTCGTCATCTTCAGGCTGGGGTCTTCAGCTTCGTGCCTGTGCGAGCAAAAAGCCGAAGACCCCAGCCTGAAGATGATGAGTGGTACCTCAT